CTGAGATTTGTCAGCTCTGACCAGTGTTTTATCTTCTCCAGATTATGAGAGGTTTATCAAGGAGGGAGCCAAGCTTCCAGCTTTAGTGTGTGTGATAACAGGTAAGAATGTTTGTGTTACACTTCTGTCAGTGCCAACAGAAGGTTTAGTTGCCACTTTTGTTCTGTGCTGACTCTTCTGTTGCTGGTGAGAGAGAGGTGGGATTGTTGCCTTTGTGTCTGGTTATAAGGACAGTGATTTATAGCTTTTTGCTATAGCTTTTTGCTATAAATTTTGAGTTATTGCACTATCCACCAGTTATGGCACATCTTTAAAGAGCCTCCCTGTCTGCTCCAGCTCTGCATGAAAAACAATCTAAGGTCAATGTTGATATGCTGCTGCAATACCAATGTCAGAGGAAGCAGCCTCAAGCTGTGCCAGGGGAGGTTTAGAATGGATATTAGGAGAATTCCTTCATGGAAAGGGTGATCAAGCACTGGCACAGCTGCCATGGGTGGAATCCCCATCCCTGGGGGAATTTAAAGCCATGTGGATGTGGCACTTGGGGCGCGGGTCAGTGTTGGCCCTGGCAGTGCTGGGGAACAGCTGGACTTGATCTGAGAGGGCTTTTCCAACCTTAAAAGCCCCATGATTCTACACTGATGGAAAACTCATTGAAATATGGAGTAAGAGAAGTCCAGATGCACCTTGCTTTCAAGGGAACTTCGATTTTTCATGTCTTTTCAGGGTACCACAAATGTTGTATCCTGCTTGTGCACCTGATCCAACAGGAGCTTGTATTTCACTGTATTTCACTTGTAGACCACATTGTTTTCAGTCATCTTGATACAACATTATTTTTCTGTTTTAAACAGGTAAAGGACCTCTGAAAGATTACTACAACGGACTGATCCAAAAACTGGACTTTCAGCATATCCAGATCTGTACACCATGGCTGGAAGCTGAGGATTACCCTCTTCTGCTTGGTAAATAGTGCATGATGGACAAGCACTGAGGATGTGTGGGACACCACTCAGCACAGTTGCTGGGGGCTGATGCAGACTGCACAGAAGCTGGGAGAATATAGTCAGGAAAGTTGCTGGTTAGTGACAGATATTAATGGATTTGACTCATTCCAGAAAAGCTGCTGAACTCCCCTGGCTGGCTTTTCCCTGTTTTCCCAAGGAGTAGCTGTGTTGCTGTTTCAGCCTTTGCAGTCTGTTTCTTCCAGCTGTGCTGAAATACAGGTGCCTGTGCATGTTCTACTTTACTTTCAGGGTCACTCCAGTACATGAAATGAAGAAGTTGTTGGCTGAGCAACCAAAAGTAGCTAAAATTCTAAATTAACCTGTCATTGGAATGTTATTCCCTCAGCATCTTCATTGCAACAGCATAAAGTGGGAGTAATAGAGTTATAAAATACATCTTCAATGTGATGTTCATTCTGCAGGGTTAGAGCCTGACAATTTATGTGGCTGTAAAACACTGTTTATTTGGTCCATTTCAAATAATTAACATAAAGTCTGTAAAATCACAGTGTAATTCCTCTGTTTGAGCTGACTTCAACTGGGAGAGGTCACTAGTGAGCCATGCAGTGTATCCTGATTGGATTGTGATGAGATTTTCCTTTACTTAACCATTTTTAGCAGACTGAGAGGCTGAAAGGCTGTTTTAAGATACACAGAACTTTAAAATCCCCTTTAATTTAACATTTGAGTCCCTAATTTGAGTCCCAAAACACCCTGTGCTTTATTATTTTCCCTGACTGTTGAAATTGTGTCTGAGCAGTTGAAAGTTTCACTTGCACCATCCAAAGCAGCACAGAAATAAAGGTTTGCAGGAGGACAGAGGAGCTGCTTTCAGAGAGTTCAGACTGTGTTGTGTTGGTTTTTCAGGCTCAGCAGACCTGGGGGTGTGTCTCCATAAATCCTCCAGTGGTTTGGATTTGCCCATGAAGGTGGTGGATATGTTTGGCTGCTGTTTACCTGTGTGTGCAATACATTTTGAATGGTAAGAGCTTATTCTGCTACAGCTCAAGGGGATCACATAAAACAATATTCTTACAAAGCCAGAGATCAGCAGCTACTGAAATACAGGAATTCAATAAGATTCCTGTATTATGCGATTTTTAAAATCCAAAAAGATAGAAATCAAGGTTGTTTTAAGTTTAAAAGTTAATACTAGTTTCTACAAATTGGGAGCATTCAATGCAAGCACTTACCTTAAAAAAATCCCTGTTTCCATTGTTTCCATATATTTAATTTTTAAAAAAAGCTTTCTTCTGCATAGACACATCTCTTCAGTGAAAGGCTGAGTGTATGCATGGGCATTCTTGGAAATTTATGGTCCTTTGGGAAAGCAGTAGCTTTGTAAAAGAAGATAAATTCTCTGTGAAGATTTCATGATGGATCATGGACATATTTTCCTTGTAGAAAAAAAATCTGGTTTTAAAGTAGATCATTGCCCTGGTTTTTAATGGATGTCCAGATGAGAGGCACAAAGACAGAATGAGGGCCCTTTGGTACAGTTGTGGTAGATTTAGTCTGACATAGAAAGGAGAAGAAGTCTTTAACTGTTTAAAACTGCCTCTATAATTTCATTATGTCAGGTATGGAGCTTGTGACACCTGGGGCCACAATGATACAGATATCCTGGTTTGGTGTGCAACATTGTAAATGTCCCACTCGCTACTTTTTGCTTCAGTTTTCCTTCTGGGTCTTTTTTTTTCACAGTTTACATGAACTGGTGAAACACAATGAGAACGGTCTGATATTCAGGGACTCGCAGGAACTTGCCAAACAACTGAAGGTAAAGGCTCTGACTGATTTCTTTCCTCTCAGAAATAACCCCAGAGATGCCACTGTGTGGGCAGCCTTTTCAGATCTGAGCATCACTCATGTGTTTTGCATTCTCTCAAGGTACTGCCTGGCCTGAGCCATTGTTAGCCTCACTTCTGTTTAAATGTGAATCTGAAGCTGGCAAAAGCATTTCAGATATTGTCCTTGTTCTCTGTTTGTGGGGCCAGACCCCAGAAGTGCAGCTGTAGTTGAGGGTTACCACTGGGGAGGCTGGAATAAGCCTCAAATGGAACATGATAGTTATTTTTCTGTGGTTTTGCTTTTTAAATTACAGATGCTTTTCTTGGATTTCCCTGCCCTGGAAGGGAAACTTCAGAGCTTCCGAGAGAACCTGCGAGCGTCCCGGCAGCTGCGCTGGGACCAGAGCTGGGACCAGACTGTCCTTCCCTTGCTGGGGAACAAGCAGTGACTGGGGGGAAGGAGGGGGTCAAACACATTCCTGCAGCTGCAGAGATTTGGGAAACAGTGAATAAACACTTTATATTGTTTGCATTTATACTTTCTAACTCCTTTGTCTTGGAATGGGGCTCTAACTCTCTTCCTTTACAGTTTCAGCTTCCTGGGTGAGTGAGAGGTGCTGAAGGTGCTGAGGCTGTTCATTATGTGCCCTGTGCTGCTTGAAGGTCCCTTTTTGGTGAAGATCCTTGAGTACAAATAGAAACTATTACCAGCTTTACCTCCTGTACAGTCAGCACTTCAGTGGGTGATTTGGGTGTGGTTTTGGCATATGGCACATGTTTTTCATTTGAGTTGTTTCATTTCAGCTGGTCAGTTCGATGGCCAGTGCCCAAGTGCCCAAGCACTGAATATCCTCCTGTGTGGTTTTATTGGGATGGAACCATTTTGTTTCCAAGTTGTTTTTCCTTTTGACAGTGTGTGCAAGAGTGTAGAAGCACAGCATTGGTGTGTGACAGCTTTACTGGGCACTTAGAGCAAAGCAGAGCTTGCAGTGAGTGTTCTCCTTTGTACACTGAAATGAATGTGCCCATTTACCTTGGGAAAGAACATAAAATTAATCTCTTCTTGAACAGTTGAACAGAAAAGGGAAAAATAAACCCAAAATATGTGAACAAATTATGTATAACTTAGTCAAAAGGCACTTTGCTTTGTGAGTACTTACTCAGGTACAGCTTTTTATGAAGGTCAGTGTTCACATGCAAGCTTAATGCTTACAAGATTTTTTCATCACCTTTTTGATGATGAAATAGATGTCAGTCATTGGTAAATGTGCTTGGAGGTGTGGGCAATAGGTTCTGCACCAGTAGTCTTAAACTCTGAGCAACTATTGAATTCATCTGCTTTTGTCAAAAGAGAAAAGGTGAAAATAGAGTCAAGTTGCTTTACTGTAGGAATTTGGCAAAACCTTCAGCTTACTGATTGAAGAATGATCCATAAAGATTGATTTGCCATTTTTTTAGTGTTTTTTTTCCTTTTTTTCAGTCAAAATCCTGCGTAAGGGTTTGGTCATTCCTGTGCACATGGAGGTAAATTAGGCACTTCTCTAATTAAACAGTAATGCCAAAAGATTTAAAGAGGTTTCCTCTTCCTATAATAGAACTTTTTAGATCCAAAATGAGCTCTGTACAGAACCTTTGACTTGAATTTTGTGTAAGGAGATAAAGGAACTCCTGTGTGGGCTGCCAGTTTGTGTTTGCTCTGGAAATAACACATTTGAGTTCTTCCTTTTGGGGACAGGGATCCAAAACCTAGGCTGGGGTTATTTCTGCTTGATCTGAGCAGCCATGGTCTCCTTTAGCTTGAATTAAAAGATTCTTCAGGTTTCAAGTTAGGTATCATCAGTTTTCTCTCCATTGCTACAGAAGGAAGAGGTTGAAGTTTTTTCATTTCAAGTAGCTTTTAATAGAGAAAAGGAAGTCGAAATAGAAGAATGAGCAGCACTTTGATTTTTCTGCTTCAGGACCAATGGTGCCCGACAGGAGAATGAATAATGGATGATGGAAAGTCTGAGAGCAGGGGAGCTCAGTCCTTGCTCTTTGCAGGATACCTGGAGCACTGCTATGGAGAGGGATTCCTTTTGCAGTCCCAGCAGCCACTGTGGAAGTGGCAGTCCTTAGGTGAGAGAAAGGGACATCAATTCTGACTTGTCATCACTGCACAGTAAAGATGCACCTGATTTACAGCAGAGGCATCCTGGCACACAACTACAGGTATTGGTCACTGTTTTATTGGGGGGTTTTCAGCTAATCCAAACTGCAAGTATATACAGACATAAAACACCAGAGTAAACAGTTACAGCTGGTTTTGGTATCAAAACTCATTGATTACTCTGAAAGATCGTTTTGCTCTCTTCTCTGTGTGAGATCCTCATCCTGTGATCCTGCAGGCTGCCCAGAGTACACAGTACATAGTACAAATCACAACACAGTTGGGAAAAAAGCCCCACTTGAATTCTGTTGTCTTCTACAGAATCCGAGTGATGTGTGATTGGGGCTCTCTGGTTTCTGTTGCTTGAGGTTCAGTCACTTCCCAGGGGAAGCAGCAGGCTTGGATCCATGCTGGGAATTACAGGAAAGAAGGACTCCAGATGTCCACATGTCCAGCTGTATCCTCAGAACCTCATTTCCAGAATTCAGGATCATTTTACAAGGCTGAGACAGCTCCTGTTGGTCTCAAAATTCCAGTTCTGTTTGCCAAGCCAAGCCTATATAAATAGTTGTAGAATAGTTACATCTGGCTGCACATCATAGAGAAAATTACAGCTGCTGTGGGCTGGAATCATCTGCCACCTGATGCCAGCTTTATCTGTGAAGAGAAACACTGGCAATCATATTTATGCTTAATAAAGAGCAAAAGTTGCATGACAAGTTCTGTAAGAAGAGATCTTTAGCATTCTGTGATTGACAGGCAAATGCTTATGAGTGTTTTTTTTTAACCCCATTAATGCCTCTGCTGAACACTCGGTGTCGCTTTGTGAATTAACCAGAATTTCACAGAATATCCTGAGTTGAAGAAACCCACAGGGATCATCAGGTCCAGTTGGTGAACACCAGCTGAACAGCAAAGAGACTCCAAAAGATAAGCTTTAGAAGTGTATATGAAGAAAAATCCCCAAATCCCTCTTTTATTAAATCTCTAGTTGGGGGTTTTAACTCTCAAAGAACAGATAAGATAAGATAAAGGGCTGCATCTCAGGTGTTATCACTGTGACAGTGCAGCACTGATGGCTCCCTCCTTTAAGCTTAAACGTTTCTTTACTTTCCTATTGGCACCAGACTTACAAGTCATCCCTCACAGATGTGAGCTGTGATAGCCAGGATGCACCTAAAGGTGAGTTCCAAGCTCCTGATGAAATCCATGTGCAAAAGCTACTGCTCTTAAATCCAGCTCTAGGATAAGATCCTGCTCTTGGACAATGCTCCTGCTCCTCTCTAGCACAGAACAAGTAATGGGGAAAGAGGCAAAAAGGCAAAACTACTGAACACTGTATGGAACAGGCACCCACCCAACTCAGCCTGGAACAGCTGATACGTGTCTGGATTCCGGATTGTGGAGGCAATGAACACCTCAGGAGCTCTCCTGTCTGCTCTGCAAGTGGAGAGTTTCTGTAGCATCCCAATGAGGGCTAAAATTATCTCAGGATCATACACCACATCTACAAAAAAAGAAACATACAATATTTATTGAGAATTGAGCAAAAACCAGAATAAAAACAGCAAAGCAGAAATACAGTCTTTACAGTGCAGGAGAATATTGATATTTTATGGGCTATGCCCTCATCACTAGAAATCAGTGCTCCTTTTTGTAAATGGATTGTCAGATATTTTATTTAAGCCCATCCTAAGGGAGGCAGCAGAACCACTGAGTGCTGGTGCTCTATTCCCACTGCCCTTGGCAAAACAAACCTGCCTTGTTAGAAATGAGTGCTTTATAGGCTGATGCCAAGGATTTGCAGAAGTTTTCATCTGGAGTCATTCCCTGGAGAGCAGAAATGGTGATGAGAGGTCAGTGAACACCAAGGGGAGTGGAATGCTGATGCTCAGAGGGGGTTTCCTACACAGAGGTGTCCAGGTAGTGTGTGTAGCACTGCAGTTACTTGTGCTGCAGTGTGGTAAGGGCACATCCTGCTGCAATGAGAAACAGCAAGTAGCAGAAAGATGTCAGTGGCCCTCAGTTCTTGCCTTCAGAGTCCAGCTGGGGCTGGTTGGGCACTGAGCAGTGTCATTGGCATTAGGTACCATGCAGTGACTTCATTTTATAGAATTCCCATTCACTGCATCCTGTGATACCTTGGATGCCAAAGTCATCTTTGCACCTGGATTGTCAGGTTTTTCTTTGCAAAGCTCCAAATCAGGGTGTAAGACCCACAGCTGAGACATTCTGCTCTCATTAGGTATCACCACTCTCATCCTACTGGCACTAGATTTTCCATGATTGGAGTTTTTATAAAACTCCCTCTGAATTTATACACAGCCAAGTCCAAAACAAGGTCTGTAGTTGGTTTCTGTTATTCCTCAAGAGGCTGCCAGGGTTGCTGAGCCCTGCCCATCCCTGCTCCCTGGGAGTGGCTGTGGTACCTGCTGCAATGACAACATCAGCTCTGAGTCCCTGCAGCTGTTCTTCTGTCACTGAGCCCCAGTCAAGCTCAGCAACAATCACTTTTGGGTTTTGGCAGTTCTCCCCTTCCACCTCCTGTCCTTGGGACTCTGTTTGGATGCTCCAGGTCGTGTCAGGCTCTGGGATGAAGCCATTTAGCTGGATGTTTTCTCCCAGCTGTCTGAGAACATGGGGGTGGCAGTCACTAAATATGAATGTTCTGGGTTGGCAGGTCTTGCAGATGGCAATTCCAGTGAAACCAATCCCACTCCCTAATTCCAGGATTGTCCTGAGGGTAATGGAGTAAAAAGTACTATCAGGATTGAGTTGGAAATCAAAACATTCTAAATATAATTAAAGATAAAATCAGTTCCAGATAATTACAATAATTTTTAAGTGAACCATCCACAATCTAACCTTTGCCCCAAGCAAATGAAGAGTTGGGAATAACTGAGGGTGGAATTGTCAGCATAAAATTAATTAGCTGAAATGCTGATTTCTGTAAGGCACATTCCCACCACAGGGATGAGAGACATTCCCACATGGCTTTAGCCATCTGCAACTCCAGTTTTTAGTCAGTGAAGAGAAACAGACACTGAGCAGCACAGTTCCTTCCCCTGTGAGCTTATTATTAAATTATCTTTCCTCAAGAGTCCTTGCTCATCTTGACTGCTTATAAATAAAGTAGAAATTATGTGATCAGAGCTGCCCACTAATCACCTAATGTAAATAATCCTTGGTGAATCCCACCATGGATTCATGGTCGTTAGTAAAATTACTGCAAACAGAACAGCTGACCTCACAGAGCAGGTCAGACTGCACAGTACAGGGGCTTGATCCTAAACCATGTCTTGACAGGGTGCTCTCCTGGGTTAAAGTTTGGCAGAACAGAAAAGAGCAGCAAACACACAGCAGCAAAAGGGTGAAATTTCAATTATTTTAGGTGTATAGTCTGTTATTAAATATTTCTGTTATTAAATTGCAGTTGTGGAGCTCACAGTATCAGAGGGCTGGAGCCCCTCTGGAGCCAGGCTGGGAGAGCTGGGGGTGCTCACCTGGAGAAGAGAAGGCTCCAGGGACACCTTGGAGACCCTTCCAGGGCCTAAAGGGGCTCCAGGAGAGCTGGAGAGGGACTGGGGACAAGGCATGCAGGGACAGGACACAGGGAATGGCTTCCACTGCCAGAGGGCAGGGATGGATGGGATATTCGAAAGGAATTGTTCCCTGGGAGGGTGGGCAGGCCCTGGCACAGGGTGCCCAGAGAAGCTGTGGCTGCCCCTGGACTCCTGGCAGTGTCCAAGGCCAGGCTGGACAGGGCTTGGAACAGCCTGGGACACTGGGAGGTGTCCCTGCCCATGGAATGATGTCCCTTCTCAGCCAAACCATTCTGTGATCCTGCAGGAGTGAACACCTCTGTCCTCATTGCTGCAGCCCTGCTGCTGCCATACCTGTCCCTGAACACACTGGGGTTCTGCAGTGCCCACTGTGCCAGCAGCAGAGCAGCCTCCCATGTGACGAGCCCCGTGGTGCCCCTGGAGATGAGAGCAGTGCTCTCGGACAGGCTCACACAGTCCCCCGTGGGCTGCAGGACAAGGGAAGACAAAGATGGATCAGCATAGGCCATAGATTTAGAGTTTACAATCAATAGGAGCACCTGGAAAAAGGCAGGAAGCACTCCAAGCTTCAGGGTGGGTGTTTTTCAATTATTGCTTACTTTGAGTGAGTAAATGTGGTTTAGAAGAGTGCAGGGTCAGTTCTTACCAGTAAGTAGTTTTTGTAACAGTGAGTAGATTCTTCTTCTTTTAGAACATCTGCCAGTGCCTCGTAGAGTTCATCCAGGGGTTCAGCTGCTGTGGATTCAATCTGTGGGGAGGAGAACAGGGCAGCTCTGAGCATCATATTGTCATGAAACAGAAAACAATTGCACTCTAAGCCCCATTTTAGTACAGTGTATTTACACTGAATGTTGTGGTTGGTAATTACATGAGGTATTTTCAAGGGAAAAAAAAAAAAAACAATGAAAAATAAGCTGAAAAGCAAGAGGTACCTTTTTGATGAGCTCAGTCAGGAAGCACCTCCTGTACTTGGCCGAAGGGGGATATTTCACACACAGAGGATGAAGAATTGTCTAGAATGAGAACACCCATGGAAATCAATTACACAGGGCAAGGTTTAGGACAGGCACTAAGGACCAGAGAAGGACCATTAATTGGCTCTGGGTACCATGAAATGCATTGGAATTTAGTCTGTATAAGAGATGCTAAGCCAGAAATTGAAATGGGATGATTTCTGACAGGTTTGTGAGTTTACAGATTTGTGGCACAAATGTCTTACTTTTTGTGGCAACTTTTCAATAGAGTAAAGAGGAAAGTGGAGTGGAAATAATCCAATTTACTCTCCTCCTTCTTTTGCTCTTCTCTTCCTTCTTTCCACTTTGGTTTGCTGTCTGATTTATGATCTCCATCTGCAGGGACAGTTTAGGCATCACCACTCCCTGTATCCCCGAATTTCAGGAGCAGCTGCGCTGACTGTGCCATTCACCACATAAGTGCTCTGGCACGTGGGTCTCAATTTTGATCTAAGAGCACCCGAATACCAGGCAGAGAAGGAAATCTGCAGTTCTGTAGAGCCTAACGAAACACTGCGACACCGGCTCACCGCTCTCGGTATTTCTGAGTCATTCCGGCGGCTTTGGGACGCGCGCTGGCACCGCCCGCAGGTGGCACGGGGGTGACTCCGAGCTGTCCCTCACCTGGCGCAGAATATCCGCCAGCAGCGCGGAGTCCGGCGCGGTCCGCAGGCTTTGTTCGAGTTCCTAAAGCAGGATAGATAAATAAATAAATATATTAATTAATTAACAACGCCTCGGGGCCGCCTCCCCCCCGCCCGGTCCCCCCGTACCGGCCAGGGCAGCGAGCGAAGCGGCCGCGCCGCCAGAAACCGGCGCTGGAAGCGCAGCGCCAGCCCCGGCCCCGGCTCGGCCATGGCCCCGCACAGCACGGCCCGGCAGGCCGCGAATCCCCGGCCTCGCCCGGCGCAGTGCCCGGAGGAGGAGCCGCCCAGAGGGCGGAGCGGCACCGCCCGACGGGGCGCGAACCAGGGACCGCCGGAGCGGGGATCGAACCCGCGATCTCAGGGACCCGGCGCGGCTCCCCCGAGTGAGCTGCCCCGCCGCAAGGGGGCGCCACGCCCCCGCTGTGACCGGACCGTGCTGGGACTGAGCCGAGCAGCGACGGCGCGGGAATGTCGGGAGAGGGAAAACAAACACCGGGAGCGGGGAATCTTTGGGATCAGGGAAGCATCGAGATCATGCAACACTGGAATCGGGGAAACATGGAATCATCGGATCAATGAATCATTGGGATCATAAGAATCATGGAAACATTGTAATTATGGAATCACGAAATCATTGGAAACACAGAATCAAAGATTATTGGAATAATGGAATCAGTGGGATCATGGAATGGTTTGGCTGAGAAAGGTGATTAGGGGCCATCCCATCCCACCCCCTGCCATGGGCAGGGACACCTCCCACTGTCCCGGGCTGCTCCAAGCCCTGTCCAACCTGGCCTTGGACACTGCCAGGGATCCAGGGACAGCCACAGCTGCTCTGGGCACCCTGTGCCAGGGCCTCAGCACCTTCACAGGGAACAATTCCTTCCTGTTATAAATGAGAGACAAAAGTCTCGATATTCAGCAAAATTTAGATTGCTTTATTTGATATAGAAAGAGCAAGCAGCGCGCTGGGGAAGGTGAGGGGTCACCGCCCACTCCACCCTCCACCGAACCTTGGTTTGCAGCCTCTTCTTAGACTGTGGTTTCTCATTGTAATCAATAATTTTTGGGTTTTTTGTTGTCATAAGCAGTGGTGGTTGAATAAAGATCTTTACACAAATTCACAAAGCCTTTGGGTGATAATCAGTCACAGATAGCCATCTGGTCCTTGTAGATAACCATCAGAGAAGTTCTGGAAGTCTGGTGTGGACACACACATTTAGAGAGCTAGGAAATTACAGCTTGGCAATTCCTTTCAGGCCTGGATTTCTCCTGTCTCTCAGGTCCATTCCCAGGTTGATAAGCTGACTACAGCTTCAGTTAAGGGAGGCAGTCTCCCAGAGTGATAACTTGGTGAAAAACAGACTGGAATTCATAATAAAGATTAACACCTGGTGTCTTTCCCATGGGACATCCGGACATGTTGTCCCAGGGGATGTTTGTCCCAATTGTCCAATGAGCTCCTGCCTTGTCCTAACTGGACGTAACACACTTTAAATACGGGATGTCCGTACAATAAAGTTGGCCTTTTTCTCCCCGAAAGAAGTCCGTGTGTGTGGCTGTCTTTTCTCTCTCTTTGCAGCGCAGTGACCACAGTCTGGTCCTTGAGATAAGCAGCATTGATCAGACAAAGGCAGGAAGGGCTATTGGGAAATCTGATTTTGCAAGCCGGTAGCCGATACAACTTATTTGGAAAACATAACATAATATAACATAATGCAACATAACACAACATAATATAACATAACAAGGTGATTGTAAACAGAATGATTTTATAATATAATTTGCTTTATCTAGTGTCCATGCTTCACTTCAGAGCTTAGGAATCTGGTTTATACAAACCCTAATGCTTTTATGATTAACACGAATCTTTTATCAATTATCACATTCCTAATGTCCCATCTAACCCTGCCCTCTGGCACTGCGAAGCCATTCTCCCTCGTCCTCTCTATGCTGTTGCAAATAGATTTGCCTCATCTTTCCCCTCAGTTCCCTGCAGGCACTGGAAGAGGCCACAGCTGAGCCATCCCGAGCTGTTTTTTACCCTAGACACTCCCGGTTTTCGGAGCTTCAATCACGGCAGAGCGGCCACAGCACCGCCATCACCTCGGCAGCCTTGCCTGGACACGTCACAACTGCGCGCCCCGTGACGTCACTGCCGCGCGCCGCGGCGAAGGACACGGCGCCCGAGCGGGACCGAACCGGACCGGAGCGAGCCGAGCGGGGCCGAACCGGACCGGAGCGAGCGGGACCGGGTGGGCTCAGGCGCCATGAGCGGCCCTGTGGAGGATGAGAAGCTGCGGGTGCAGCAGCTCCGCGCCCTCCGGCGCCGCTGGCTGCGGGACCAGGAGCTGAGCCCGCGGGAGCCCGTCCTGCCGCCGCGGAAGCTCGGGCCCGTGGCCGCCTTCTGGGACCGCTTCCTGCAGCCCGGGGATCCCTGGCGGCAGCAGGTGAGCGGCGGGACGCGGGCACCGTGCGGCCTTTCCTGGGCCGCTGCCCCGGCCTGACTGTCCCTGTGCCCGCAGGTGCACAAGTTCTACCAGAGCGGCCGCTTCTTCATGCTGCGGGTGCTGCTCCCCGCCTGGGCCATCACCTACTACGTGAAGTACCACGTCCGGGTGCGTGCGGGGCCCGGGGGGTTAACGGGAATGCTCGGGAAGGGGCGGGGAAGCGCTGGAGAAAGCCCAGCGAGGGGGATGATGCGAGGAGTGGGAATGTGCTGCTGACATGCGGTTGCAGGTGAAGGTTGTTCCCCGTGGCCTGTTCACCACTTGTGTTTCCTTGCTGGGATAGTAGTTATATATAAATTTTGTGTGATTCTTCATCACAAAAAATCACCCTTGTGAGACCCCACCTGCAGGGCTGCCTCTAGATCTGGGGTCCAACAGCAGCAGGACGTGGAGCTGCTGGATAGAGGCCAGGGGAGGCCACAGAGGCGTCCCAAGGGCTGGAACCCCTCTGCTCTGGAGCCAGGCTGGGAGAGCTGGGGGTGTTCAGCTGGAGAAGAGAAGGCTCCAGGGACACCTCAGGGCCTAAAGGAGCTCCAAGAGAACTGGAGAGGGACTAGGGACAAGGGTCTGGGGAAGGGGGAATTGCTTCCCCCTGCCAGAGGGCAGGGACAGATGGGATATTGGGAAGGAATTGTTCCCTGGGAGGGTGGGCAGGCCCTGGCACAGGGTGCCCAGAGAAGCTGTGGCTGTCCCTGGATCCCTGGCAGTGTCCAAGGCCAGGTTGGACAGAGCTTGGAGGAACCTGAGATAAGGGAAGGTGTCCCTGTGCATGGCAGGGCATGGAAGGTTTAAGGTCCCTTCCAACCAAAACCATTCCATGATTTATGGCGATGACCAGCTTTTCCTGTGATGTGAGCAGAAAAGTTGTGTCTGAATTGTTCGTGCCCTGCACAAACAGCAGGAAACATCATTGCTGGTAATAACCAGGGCAGCTGTTGGTGTGGGGAGGGAAAATGCCACCCCTGCCCTCCCTAGCAGGTGTGACTGTTGTAGCCTCAGGTATTTCTCTAAGCAGTGGAAGGTTTAACAAGACTTGGGTTTAGCACTGTTTGTATTCTGGAAGGGTTGTCATACCCATTTTGAAAATCCTTTCTGCTTCCTCCAAGTAACACTGTTCTCTTTACCCTTCCCTCTCTTCTCCCCCTGCTTCCAGAAATCTCCACACGGTGTGGTTGTGACAAACCCACGGATATTCCCAGTAAGTCTCTTAACACTTGTCTTATCTTTCATCTGTGTCACACAGATGGGAAGGGGTTTCCAGGGAGGTTTGTGCAGCACCTGAGAAACATCTAGTGACGACTTTCCCAAGGGCTGTGCTGGATCCTGTGGGCAGCACAGGGACAGTGGGTTTGGGCACTTTCATCTTGTCTTCAATCCCTGTTTCAATGTTACCTCCTCTGTAGCACCTGGCTGTCAGAACGTGGCCAGTGCTGCCCATCCTGGGTGGAAAATACAACCATTCCCTTTGGGAATGAGTGTGCAAAGCCCTGGTGATTATTAACACGTGGAATCACACAGGAGTGACTCTGCTTCTCCTCATTGTCAGCACTGAGAATGTTGGTTCTGCCCTGGTCCCAGTTGTCCCTGAAGGACCCCCACACTCAGGTGTCCCCAGAGAGTTGTGCCACCTCAGCTTGGGACAAGTTTCATGAAGCAGAGAGTGTCACAATGTTCAGTCTTTTCTGTTTTCAGGCTGCTCTGAGCTGTTACTGATTGGTGTAACAAGTCAGAGGGCAAATATTCCCACAGAATATCAGCTCTGCCCTTTCTGCGTGCTGCCCATTTTTGGCATAATACCTCCTAATCATGCTCTAACATAAAATTATAAAATATTCCATCCCAAATAACCACAAAGCAACACACTGAAAGTCGGGCTGTTGGCCTCTATCTTCACCGTAATTTTTCAGTCGATTTAGGTCCACTCAGCAGGCCAAGACTGTGCCTGGAGCTGGAACAAGTGGTGCTGGGGCAGCAAGCTGATTTTTGAGGGATTCCATGGCTTTCTATGGGCTCTGGGCTGTGGGTTTGGACTCACTGATCACTGCTGGAGAGTATTATGCAGTGTTATAAGTAATTTTTTAAACAAAACAGGCTCAAAATGTGTGGCTGCTGTTCTGTAGTGAAAACAAGGGGTAAAGCAAGTTCAGACTCTAGATAATTTTGCTTGACGTTATTCCAGTGGTCTGGGAATGTTGGGTGAATGAGAGTGTTCTGAGTGAGTTGTGAGATTCCTGCCTGGCAGTGGGGACTTCAGGTTCCCTGAAGGACTGGGCTGTGCAGGGCGAGTCTGGGTGCCACGGGGAATGCTCACCACGCTCTCATCCCACAGGGGGACAGGATTTTAGAGACTGGAGAGATCATGCCACCCCTGAGAGATGAGCTCCACAAGCACCACTGATGGCCAGGAGCTGATTTCCTCCTTGGGTGAACATGGTGAGAGCTGCACCTGCTTTGTCTCTTCCATAAAAGAGTCTTTATTCTGCATTGTCTCAGCTCCTCTGTCATTTACTGTCTGCTTAGTCCTAGGTGCTCCCCATGTGGGAGTTCATTGTTGCTGGATCCTGGGGATCTCCAACCCCTGTACTCACCTTTCAGTGATACCTGGCAGCAGGACAGTGTGGGCCTTGGGGTGATGAGAGAGACACTCTGGATCCCAGGGATTTTGGAGCAGGCTGCTCCAGGGAGCAGAGTCACACTGAG